TAGCCAGCTCAGCCCACCAGGGGGCGGTGCTGGCTGGCATGTGGTACTGGGGGATTGAACCGTGGTCCCCGTGCTTTGCCAAGCTTGTTCTAAGTAGGTGCTTTAGACCACTAAGCCATCTCACCAGCCCCAAAACTTTCTTAAAATAGTAAAGGACCACAAAAAAATTCAACAGCTGCTGAAATGAGAATAACAAGATTGATAGGAATCAATGAAAAAAATCAGAAGATAGCACAAAAGACATAAAAGTCCTGTTCACAAAAGTAATGGCAGAAAACTTTCTAAGCAGGGAAAAAGAAAGTTGACATTTAATAGGTATGTAAGGCATACAGAGCTCCAGTTAGCCATGGACAGAAAAACTACACCAAGGCATATATTAGTGCAGAAAATCAACACAAGAACAAAACACTAAAAGCTTTTAGAGAAACAAAGGAAAACCTATCAGAATCACAGTAGACTTCTCAACACAAACCCTTAAGGAGAGCTTGGAATAAAATGTCAAGCCCTTAAAGCAACCTCCAACCCAGATTGATGTACCCCACAAAACTTTAAAAATTCATGGAGAAATAAGACTTCCATGTTTATAAAAAAGAAAAACATCTGAAGCAAATCAGTACTACACCAAAACAGGACTACAGAAAGTTTTTAAGGGTATTCTAGAAAAAGACAACGAAGACAATTCCATGGATCCCAACTGAATGACTCCACCAGGCAAGGCAAGTAAACAGGCAAAAGAGAGGGAGCAGCAGGAAAATGAGACAAGGCTAAGTCAATATATATCAGTTACAAACATCAGTGAAGCTGGGCGTGGTGGTGCACATCTTTAATGAAATTGAAAGGGAAGCAATATCCCCAGTCACCTCTGAAGGCACAACCAGGATCCAAACAAGACAGTAATCCCAGCACTTGGGACAGTGAAACAGGTGATTGCTGCAAGTTTTGAAACCACCTGGGGCAACAAAGTGAGCTCAAGCCCAGCCTGAACTGCACAGCAAGACCCTGTCTCAAAAAGACACACACACACACACATCAATGTAAATGGGCTCAGTTCACCAAAATGGATCAAGAAACAAGACCCAACAATATTCTGTGTACAAGAAACACATTTAACTCAAATGCACAGACAGTGTCGAAGGAACCTGTACCCTGATGGAAAATGCAGAAGAAATGGAATGATTTCTACATACATATAAATTACCAAAGCTGAATAAAGAAGATATAAAAACTCTAAATAACTTAGTATCAGTCAGTGAAATTGAAGTAATTAAAAATTACCAATGGGGGCCGGAGAGATAGTTCAGTAGTATAAGTGCTTGCCTGGCAAGTGCGGTGTCCTGAGTTCAACCCCAGGTACTGCAAAAATTAAATAAAATAAAAACTACCAATGAAGAAAAGCCCAGGTCTTGACATTCACTGTTGAATTTTACAGGACATTTAGAAGTCGAATGTTATTACTCCTCAACTCTTTAATGAAACTGAAAGGGATACAATATTCCAAATCTCACCTATGAAGGCAAAACCAGGGAAGGAGCCAACCAAACAGACAATGACAGGACAATCTCCTTAATAAACCTAGATGTAAAAATTCAATGAGATACTGGCAAACAATGCAAGAAATCATCAAGAAAAATATACACTATGACAAAGCAGTATTTAGATGCAGGGATGGTTCAGCATACACAAATCAAATGTACTGTA